GTCTTCCTTCATAGAGCTTTATTTCCAGTCTGCTTATCTTTGTTTTGCCCTCCTCTGATCCCTTTCCAGTCTGTCTGTACCTTTCTTAAACTGTGGTTCCCAGAACTGAACATAGCACTCAAGAAGATGCCTAACCAGTGCTGAGTGGAGGGGAACTAGTACTTCACATGATTTGAAAGCAGTACCTCTATTAATGTAGCACAATTTAGCATTTTCCTTCTTAGCAGTGTTTGCCATTTTTACAATCCCTGTAGGAAAAGCTAGCCTTCCTTTTCATTGTGCTCTGATACTTACCTTTTCTAGGCTGCTGCTGTGCAAAATAAAATAATTGATCTCAGTTCTCCCTTGCTATATTAATTTCTTTGTTAAGAACACCATTTTTTATTTACTGTGTGTTTTTCTGATATTTTAATATATTTTTTCTTTAGAACTCTTAACCAATATCTGCAAAGACTTCCTTAGCTCTGTGCTTGAAATTGGTGAATTTCCTAGACAAAAAAATCAGCATTTGTTTGTTTATTTGTTTAACTAGTGCTCTGTACTCTCTAAGTTGTTCTGATAACTCACTGGAAGCTGCCAATTGCATTGTGTAGCTAGCACCCCCTCCCACTTATTCAATCATTCCATGCCAGAATCTGGTGCAAACTAAGTGAGTTTGGCCTCATTACTTCAGGCAAGATTAGCATGTGTGACATGTCTGATAGAAATCTGGAGGGCAGGTCTAAGACATACATTATGACTAGGATGTGTGCACATGGCTAATATAAATAAGTGAATAGGTTGGAATGAGGAAAACCAGACAACAAAGACCTAGCGTGATGACACAGAATTCACCTTTGAATAAGTTGTGCTGTAATTTTGGTTTCCTGTCCAGAAAGTCTGTACAGAGATCTAAGATTTATAATATTTTTGCTATAAACACTAGCCTTTTACTTTGGGTGAAATGGATATTTGCAGTATCTTCTGTTTCAAAGCCTAAAGAAGCACAGTCTCCTGCAAACAAATGGCTTTCACTGAAGAGAAGATTGTAAGATGAGAATTGTCCAAGGGAAAGTTTATTTTTCTTTGGAGTAACTACGGAATAAAGGTCTCCGAGCTTGTAATGGTAACACAGTGCTTTAATGCATTTACTACAGAACAAGTAGACATGTTCATTTTGTGAAGAATGGCTAACTTAATGAACTTACAGATGGAGGAGAAAATATTGAATCAGCAAAGACCTACACATAAGGTAACCTCAGAAGTTAATTAGAACATTTTTAAAAAGAAAAACTTACTCTGCAGCCCTTTGCATGTGTACCTACACATAAGCCCCAATGAAATCAGCTCAGTAGGACTTATTCCCAGGTATGTATGTACAGGATTGCAGCCTTCACTTGTGCACTGACTCTTTGACATGGCATAGGGCATTATGTTCATTGTTTACGTAGAGCTCCATCCACAGTTTTGGCATTCTACAAACAAAAAGAAAAAAGCTAGAATATATTGGAAAATTTGGTATTCCAAAGTGTAGATTCTCCCATCAGAATGTGCACTATTTTGAGCAAATGTTATTAATATAAATAAGTTTTGTGTAGTGTAATGTTGTGTTGCATACATGCAAACAGAAAGGCAACTCTCTGTGCCCAGTTGGCAAATGCAGACAGTGCAGTCCACACATGAAGTGAGCACAGAGCAGCTGGGAGAGGGGTACTTCATCTAGTATGGGCTCTTGGACCCACAAAGTGACTATATTATTATGGTTAACTGTACAAAATGAACTTGTTGGAAATTAGAAATGAAAAAGGTAAGGTAACAATAGGGCAAACTTGTGATATCAAATGTTACAAAAATCTTTTGGATTGTTATTTCTATGGATAACATTCCTATCTGTAAAAATTTAAATCTGTCCTAGACCCAAGTCGCTCTAGATAATTGTCAGATTCTGTTGATTTACTAGGGAAAACTACTTGGATTCTATACTGTGTACACTAAAACAAAATCAATTGACTTGGATTTTGTTTTTATTTTTATTTGAGGCTTTGCTTAACTCATGTTCAGTAGATTGAAAAAAAGACCTAATTTCCAATCGCTCAGATTAAGTACGAAGTAGACAATTATGTGAAAATGTCTTCAAGCACTGTATTTAAATTACACCAAATGTGTGTTTCCCCCCTGCAATGTAATGAAAGTGGTAAACTAGGTAATTTTCACCCCAGACTGCTTTTAGTAAACACCCACAATCTGATCTACTGAGAGCTTGAAAACTTTTCAGAAGCTAAACAGTTAGAGCAAAATTCTGCTGCTTGAGGAGGTTAATTTCATAGTTGTGGATAAAAATATGTTACAGTTTCTCGTCATTTATTCTATTTCATTTCTCTCTATATATTGACCTTAGTGGGTTACAGTGAAAAAAAATTCATACAAGCTTTTCTCTGTTTGATACTTCATTGTTCTTGGATAACATTACCGCGGTGGGAATCTGGCTCTGATTTCATTCCAATTAAAAATCCAGGAAATGTTTCTTCTTTCAAGCAGCTGCAGAGATTTAAACAAAGTCAGTGT